GGAAGAAAGAAAGAAAGAAAGAAAGAAAGAAAAGAAAGAAAGAAAGAAAGAAAGAAAGAAAGAAAGAAAGAAAGAAAGAAAGAAAAAAGAAAGAAAGAAAGAAAGAAAGAAAGAGGGAGGGAGGGAGGGAAGGAAGGAAGGAAGGAAGGAACAGTACAGGTAGTCCTTGACTTACAACAGTTTGTTTAGTGACTGTTCAATGTTAAAACGGCACTGAAAAAGTGACATGACCATTTTTCACTTTTACAGTGAAGTTGCAGCCTCCCCAGAGTCATGTGATCAAAATTCAGCTGCTTGACAACTGACTCATATTTATGACGGTCGCAGTGTCCCAGGGTAATGTGATCCCCTTTTGTGACCTTCTGACAAGCGAGGAGCCAGATTCACTTAACAACCGTGTGACTAGCTTAACAACTGCAAGGATTCAACTTAATAATTTTGGCAAGAAAGGTCGTAAAAATGAGTCTCAGCTCCCTTAACAAAGATCCCCTTAGCAGCAGAAATTCTGGGCTCGATTGTGGTCATAGGTGGAGGACCACCTGGACAGGCGTACCTTTTAATCTCAGTCTGAAAAGCGTAGGTCTGGTGGGTTGGCGGTGCTGCCATCCTGTCCTCTTCTTCCTGAGCTTGAAATGCTGAAAGAGGGCGGGAGGAAGGGACAAATTCTAAATTAAAACATGGTTATCACACATGGCAGATAAAAGTGCTCTTAACACAACGCCAACCCTTCTTGAGGCTAAACTTAGTTTCCCAGCGGGGAGGGGTCCCCGGAGTCTCCATCACACACAACAGTCCCGAATTTATTGCAGCCATTGTTCTTAACCCCGATCCTTCTGCATTGATTGTTCTGGCTTTGGTTTACATGGGTAGTCCTCAGTTTACAACTGTTCATTTACAGACCGTTCGAAGTTACAATGGCCCTAAAAAGGGGGGGACCTTTGACCACTTTTCACACTTATGACCATTGCAGCATGCCCATGATGATCAAAATTCAGACCTTTGGGAGCTGACTGATATTTATGACCTTTGCAGTGTCCCTGGGATCACGTGATCCCCTTTGGCCACCTTCTGCCAAGCAAAGTCAATGGGGAATCCGGATTCACTTAACAGCCATGTTGATTTCCCTAATGATTGATGATTCACTTAATGACCATAGCTATCCAATCAGATAGGTCATGTGATGAGCCCCTTTACGACTGTTACATCTTACAACCAAAGCGGGCAGTCTCTATTGCAGCTGTAAGTTGAGTACCACTGACTTATATTCAATGCAATTAGTCCTTGAGTTACAACCAATTGTTTAGTGACCCCTCAAAGTTACAACGGCACTGAGAAAAGGGACTTAAAACCTGTCCTTGCACTTACAACTAAAGCAACATTATCCATAGTCACGTCAAAATTCAGGTGTTCGGCAGGTGGCGTGAATTTAGAACAGCTGCAGCATCCTGGGACCATGCGAGCCAACTTCCAACAAGCAACAACAATGAGAGAAACTGGATTTGCTTCACAACCGCATACCACTGAACAATAATAGCCATTCACTTTGGAACCACGTGAAGGGGGGTGGGAGGAAGAGGAGGAGGACTGCGGGCTCTTTGGTGCTCTCTGAGTTTGGCTGTTTTCATGACCCAGCTAGGTAACCCTCAAGGCTAAAGGGAGGAGGGTTGTGGGGAGGAGAAGGAGGAGGAGCTCTCAGAATGGGTTGTTTGCTTGCAGATGTTCCATTCATTCCCTGAGGATGTGATCCAGTTTGTCAACGAGTTGAACTACAAACTCAGAGAGCAGCAAGCCTCACACAGAAAGAAAAACCCAGGTGAACGCGGATTAACACCAGACAAACAATGAAGCAGTAAGCATTACCCCAGGGGGTAGGATTCTACCGGTTCAGCCCGGTTCTATAGAACGGGTAGCTCCAAAGGGCAGCTCGTCAGCAGGAGGGTGAATATTTGCCGGAGCTGGTAATGTGTTAATAGTGCGCAAAGCGCGCACTCACCAAACCCGTTGTCATGCCGGTAGGATCCCGCCCCCTAATCAAGGAATTACCAAGGGGGGAAACACACCCTCCCAGCAACAGTGCCAAGATAAGCAGCTGTAACTATAAAGGGAGCAAAGCCTACACTCCCTAACACTGATTGCGTTACCTAGTTGGATGGTGAAAAGTCTGCAGGAAGACCACCAAATTCAGACAGCACGAAGGACCCCTCGTTTCAACCCCGAGCTACAAATATTCTCTCCTGTTGAGGAAACGAATACCTGCTTGATCTTCTTCACCAATTTTCACTTTGGGAGTTGGGTAGCTGTATGGACCCACGCCGGCTGGGCTTACGCAGGCAATGCGAAAGGAGTAGACCAAACCCCGAGGAAGATGTTCAACTGTGTAACAGCAATCTGGGATGTCACCGGCCAGGGTTTTCCACTCTCCATCTTGGCAAAGAAACAAAAGGAAGGAAGAAAAAGATTAATATATAACATTAAATTAATAAAAAAAGATTAATAAAGTAGGAAGGGGATGAGTTCTAGTCGCGTTTCAGGCAAGAAAGCCAGCCGGGTGACTTTGGGCCAATCGCCCTCCATTGCTCTCCACGGTAGTTTCTTCGCCTCCCTTAAAGATGCAGGCGATACAGTTAGTCCTCAACTTACTCAATCGTTTAGTGACTATTCAAAGTTACAATGGCATTGAAAAAAACTACTCAACTAGTTTTCACACTTGCAACCTTTGCAGCATTGAAAGAAAAGCAAGGAAGGCCATAAAACGGGGGAAAACGTGTCTCGCTGAACCACAGAGAGTTTGGGCTCCATTATGGTGATACGTTGAAGGACCACCCGTAAAAGAGAAGCTGCTTACCATCCTTCTTGCACAGAACAGTGTAAGTCACTGGGTTGTTGAGTTCCACCGCTTCCCAGGCCAGCTGTACGCCATCTTCAAGAACTTCAAGGATATCAGGGGCAGGTATGTTTGAAGGTGCCTCTGAGGCAGAATAGAAAACCATCATTCATCCCAATGTCGGCGTGTATGATTTTGAAAACACACTGGAAAGCAACTTGAAGCATCGTGAAACATCATTTTCAGCTCAGCTGCACCTCACTCACAAACTCTGGGGGCTGATCTCATCAGGAGAAACACCCATTAATTCCAGTTGCAATGTCTTTTATTTAAAATCATGTTTTTCATTGCCTAAGAAACATGATGTTGATGGAAGATATTATTGTAGTTTAGGACTGATTGACCCAACTAGGTAACATCTTCAGTGATAGAAGGGGATGGGGTTACAGGGGAGGAGGAGGAGGAGGAGGAAACAGACCAACAGATAATAGAAATAACTGATGGATAGAAAGACAGACGGACGGATAGATGATAGAGATAGACACAGATAGATACAGACGTGAATTTAGATGAATGGAAAGAGAAAGAGGTGGAGAACGATAGATGTATGAATGGACAGAGTATAAACAGATAATTAAACAAACATAAGACAGAACTGGTAGAAAAGAAACACGACACCATAACAGAGCCAGAGGGAGGGGCGATTTGGGAGAAAGCTGATGGAGGGAAATGCCCCTTAATCCTGAGGCAAAGACTGCCTTAAGTTTTGGGGAGGTTTTTAAGGGTAAGATGCTTTCAGGCAGCACAAGGAGAGATATTTTTCCTTCCCACAATCTCTACATTCCCATTTTTGGACCCACAATTTCTGAGCCTTTTTGGATCCCAGGATGCAAGGGGGAAGAAAACCATATTTTACCTGCTTTCCTTATGGTGCAGAAGGTGGAAACAGCACCGTGGGAACTGGTAGCCTTGCAGCTGTAGACGCCAAAGTCCGCCATCGTAGCTGACAACACGGTTAAAATCTGGAACCGTTTTAGAGTTGAAGAAATCAGGATCCGATCCGTGCTGCAAATTGCTGCTCCATCTAAAAGGCGATAAAAAGAAAGTTGCCAGGAATTTGGCTACCACCTAAAATTGAAGGTCAATCTCTTTGAAATGCCTGGAATCAGGAGTCCCACAAATTATATAGGTAGTCCTCAACTTATGGCCACAACGGGGACCAAAGACTCTCTTGCTAAGTGAGGCCATTAAGTGAGCCATGCCCTATTTCATGACCTTTTTTTCTTGCTCCGGTTGTTAAGTGAATTGCAGAAGTTGTTAAGTGAATCACATGGTCATTAAAGGAATCCGGCATCACCGATTGACTTTACTTGTCGGAGACCGGTGGGAAGGTCACGAATGGTGATCACATGACCCTAGGATGCTGCAACTGTTGCAAATACATGATGGTGGCCAACTGCCCGAATTTTGATCATGTGACCGTGGGGATGCTACAATAGTTGTAAGTGTGAGGACCAGTCATCACTTTTTTCAATGCTGTTGTAACTTTGAACTTCGTTCCTTTCTTCTTCCCCCCTTTTTCCTTCCTTCCCTCTTTCCTCTTTTCCCTCCCTCCCTCCTTTTCTTCCTTCCTCCCTCCCTCCCTCCCTCCTCTTTTTCTTCCTCCCTCCCTCCCCTTTTCCTTTCCTTCCTTCCTTCCTTCCTCCCTCC